TTTGGGCCTTTGCACGGCTGCGTGGGCCGTTGCACGGGCACGCGGGGTGTTGCACGGGCACTGGATGGACGTGAGGCTGCCCCACAGGCGCGCAGGGCTTTGCACAGCTGTTGCACGGCCGTGTGGGCCATTGCACAGGCACACGGGGCTTTGCACTGTAGCTCTGCAGACCATCGCATGGCTGCACGGGTGATGCAAAACGCGCCTGCACCCCCGCTCCCGTGCAGGCCCCGCTACATCCCAGTCCCAAACCATTGGGGCCAGTCGCAAGTGGGGGAGGCGGGTGCTGATCCCCATGTCCCCAGCGCCGTGCGGTCTCCGCAGGGTGCCCATGGGCTCTCCGTCGGCCACCCCAAGGCTGCTCTACCGCAGCACCCGACTGCTCCGCACGGCCTTCCAGCACCTCCACCAGCAGCAGCAGCGAGCGGATGTCTTCTGCGACGTGGTCCTACAGGCTGAAGGTGAGCGGGCAGCATGGCCCACGGAGGGGGCGGTACCCTCAGGGGACCTGCGGGCAGGGTCCCTGCAACCCCCCAGGGAGGATCGGGGAGAGCGGGGGGGGGCTGCAGGGCGGTGGCAGCTGTTGTTGCTTTGCAGGCGAGGCGGTGGTGGCCCATTGCTGCATCCTCTCCGTCTGCAGCCCCTTCTTCATGGAGCAGCTGGGCCGGGAGCTGCCCCCCAGGGGTGGCAGGGTGGTGCTGGAGCTGGGGGGGCTGAAGATCAGGGCGCTGCGCAAGCTGGTGCGCTTCCTCTACACCGCCGAGCTGGAGGCCACGCGGGAGGAGGGGCGGGGGGTGCGGCCGGCGCCCCGCCGCCTCCGTGTCACCGAGCTCGAGTCGTTGCAGCTCCGGGGGGGACGCCTGGTGAGGCCGGGTCCCCAGCGGCAGGGTGTGCCCCGTGCGCCAGCTGGCCCGCTCCTGCCTGCACCCCCCCCGGCACGGCTCCCCCGTGGCAGCGGGTGGCAGGGCTGAGCCTGCTGGTGCCAGCGTTCCCCCTGGGAGCACCGGTGTCCCCCCGCAGGGACGGCCATGCTCTCCAGGGGCTGCACACCCCAGCCCCGGCCCCGTGGGGCGGGC